ATATATATATATATATATATATATATATATATATATATATATATATATATATATATGACCCCTTTAGTTTTTTAGATTTATTAACAACAAAGCAAATAACAGCACTGTAAGCATAAATCCTACACAAAGCATAACAAGTCTCTCTGCAAATGCTTTTGTACTCTTACCTTCTACAGAGAAGATAACTATTAGTGAGCCTGACCTCGCCTGCAACTGCTTCCCTGTCTCACTCAATTAGACGTATGTGTCACAATATGCTGCTGGAATGAACGATGGAGACGCAGATAACATAAACGTTATTTAATAAGAGAATCACAGGGGTAAATCCACAACAAGAACAGGGGTAAACACGTAATCCAACAAGTAGACCCAATAAAAACAGAACGCAAAGGCTGAGACTTAAATACATGGAGTAATTAGAACTAACCAACAAGACACACCTGAATCAAATGAACCATCAACGAGAGGGAGAAACTGGGTCACGGAGCACATGTGGAGGGAAAACACAAGGAAGACACTCCAGGGCCGTGACAGTATGTTTCAAAAGGAAGAAAGTGCCTTTATAAATGCACATATAGTATGTAAATATTTATGTGTTACAACGGAGACCAGGATGAATACGGATCTTTCATGAGTAGGTCTGCATCATCTTGCCTGCTTATGTATGTGCACAGATAACAGAATACAGAAACATGCACAAAGTAATTCCCAGGCAACTGCTGTCAGCCGCAGCACATGAGGTCGCGTTTTGATGGCTTTTTAAAGGAGCTTGACCTCTCCCTGAATCTTGGGAGAGCAAGAGAGAGAAAGAGTGACAACAAGAAAAAAAATGTGACAGAGTATGTGACTGGTTGCTGTTATTGGGCTCTTCTCTCCAAAGATTTGTATTTATTTTTTTATTATTATTTCTTTATTTACAGTGATGATAAATGACACTTACAAGTAATTGTATGTCCGTTATGTGATGCACATGCATAAGTATATTCAAACATTCAAAAAGACCTGAATGTAGTAATTAAAAGTGAATAATACTTTTGACATTACTGGCATAACCTTTTCTACACTAACATTAACTGACACTTTTGTATTTATTAGCATTAATTTATTATTACATTTTTGAAAGGTTGCATTAATTATATACAAAACCATTCAACACTTTGGCTTATTACTTCTGTAATATTTTTTTATATATTTTTTTCACCAATGCTGCATTTATTTAATCAAAAATACAGTAAAACTGTAATATTGTAATGTATTATTACAATTTAAAATAACTATTCTCTGTGTTAATATAAAGTAGTTTAAAATGTAATTTATTCATGTGATGCAAAGCTAAATTTTCAGAAGCATTACTCCAGTCTTCATTGCCACATGAAATCATGCTGATACACTGATTTGACGTCCAAGAAACATTTCTTATTGTTATAATATTTAAAACAGCTGTTTTTTGTTTCAGGATTCTTAGATGAAAAGAAAGTTCAAAAGAACAACATTTATTTGAAATAGAAATATTTTGTAACATTATAAATGTCGTTATTGTTGTATTTGATCAATTCAATGCATCTTTGCTAAATAAAATAATGAATTTCTTAAAAATATATATTTTAAATGGTAATGTACTTTTACACTTTTGGTTATTGGTAAACATCATTCAATTTCAGAGGTGAAAAAAAGCTACATTTCTTATTTAGCAAGCATAAACATTTTATTAGAATAATGTGCACAATATTATGCAAAATTAAGAGCAGGAATGTGAATTAAGAAAGTAAATGGGATCAAGTTTGATTGATGTCAACCTTAATAGCTAAACTGACTTTTAAACAACCTTTAAAGGGGTATTATTAAGATCAAGGTAGTTAACTCACATCCATAAACTCCACATTGGCTTTAGGTCCTGTACTTTCATTGAGTATCTTTATAGCCACTGGAATCTTCACCGTTTCACCTTCTGGAACCCAGATTCCCTTATAAAGAAGACATCAGAATTAGCCAACACACCCTCAAATCATATAAAACAACAAATGCTGACAGGAAGACACAATAAACATAGAAGTGCTACCTTATAGACCATGCCAAAGGCTCCAGTTCCCAAAATCTTGACTCTCTTAAGTTCAGTTTCCTTCAATATACGCAGCTGAGCCTTGTTTGGAGGTGTACCACTGGGCGTCAATGGCTCCACCAACTGCTTAAACAACCAAGCCTTAGATCAGTCACAACTTTTGAACGCACAAATACACAGAGCTCCAAAACAAGCTCTTAGAAGTTACATTTAACCATATTTTCAGAATAAAGTTTGTTTATGCAGTAGTCATTAGGTCTCAGAAGGGAAAAGAAAGATGTTACTGGATATTTGGAGAGTAAACAGTTGTGAAGTGAACCAAGCTAATGAAGATAAGAGGAGTAGAGAAGAGGGAATGGTTGAAAGGATGTACAGAGATATAATTGCTAAATACAAAGTGGCATTTGTAGTTTCATTAGGGCTGGAGCTGCTTGCAGGGGAAAAATACCTGTGTGTGTGGAATCTTGGACTTGTTTAGTATCTTGTGTTCAACAATAACAGATTTCAGACCTTTCTAAGAAAAAGGCAAGGTTTTTTTCTAGCTTATATGAGTGTTAGGAAATTAAAATGTAAATTATTATTAATGTAAACACAGTGGTGTGGTGCAGTGGTGCTAGATCTGGCTGTAAACCAAAAGATTGCAGGTTCGAACCCCATAAAGATTGATCCATGAGCTACCATCATTGTGCATATGGTTAGGAAACTCAAAGTTCAACAAAAAATAATAATCCACCATTATTTCCTCATATTCATACTGTTCCAAACTTGTTTATCTTTCTTTATTTTGTGGAAATAAAGAACTTTAGCAGAATGTACAAAGTGCTATTTTCCTACTTGACAATTAGGCTGCTACATCACAATAAAATAAAATAAAATAAATTACAAATATTGTAAAATAATGTGATATATATATTATAATATGGAACAATTATGGAGTTGAATGAATGGTTATATAATATACTGGGAAGTGTCCCAGTAATAAGTACAGCAAATGACATCTTGGTTCTTGTTGTTTCTCTGAATTGAGGAATCAAACCCTTGATAACAGTTAAAATAATGATCTTTCGTCCCTGGATACACTGTTCTTATTTATGGTAACGAAGGGGGAATCTTCCAGCATACCTTATACAGACAGTCCACTCAGCACTTTCAATCTTAGGTAATGGAAAAGGCACTTTTATAGTGACACTTTAATTTGTAAATGTAAATTTGGTTAGCCATTATCTGGGGCTAATTGTTAATGTAAGTGACCAATCACAGCACAGAACGGAAGGCACTTTGTTTTATGGAAGTGCAGACTGAACACACACAATGTGGAGCTGTCCATCTCTGTGGTGCTGAAATCCAGCATTCAAACTGAGCATTAGAGGGAGCTGTCCAGATATGTGGTGCTGAAAGAGAAACATCTGTCAAACATATAATTGACATATACATATAATTTTTTTTTCTCACTGTAAAAGGACAGTGTATGAGTAGTTTAATATTATTATAAATCTTTCAGCTGAAGTAAAGGAATGTTTCGGATTCAACATATCTTTATCAACAGAATTTCAACTCGTCCCTCCATTCAAGCTAAATAAATAAATAAATGAAAATAAAAATAAAGCATAATGGATGTCTATGGGGAGAGGAATTTAGAAGAGTTTAAATCAGAAATGTGCAGCTTATATTTTATTATGCAACTTTTATCAACTTTTATTATTCCAAAATAACATGTATTTTAACATTTTCAGTAAACTGGTAAACATTCGACAGATGCATGTTTTATTAAAACACTGGGTGGTCTAAACCTTTCCTTATCTGCTTCCTTTTGGCAGAAACATACAACTTTCTACTTGAACAGAGGCCTCAGGTTTGCTTACATGGATTTCAGGATTCTAGTGCATGAGTGTCTCTGTCAGCCTTTGGATACAGGGCATCTTCTCAGGCTGACAGCTGTCTATAACACTGATGCTCCACCTGCAAATTATCCAAACCAGTACAGACAGGCCATGTTTTTTAATAGGCTGCCCAGTCATTCAGGGCAACAGGGCTATGCATTAACCCAACAAACCTGCCATGCATTTAAGGAAGGCCCTCCACTGAATACTTTATGGGCTGTGTGCTGGGGAATTTTTAAGCATGCAGCTCACCAAGAAACGAAACGAAACAAATAAAAAAATCTGTAGACAGGGAAGGATTTTGATGCAACGTGACAGACAGAAGAGACAGAAGATATGATGCATAATGTATAAAATGTTTCTGTTTTAGTCAGTGCTTACTGATTTAACTAAACTTATGAGAATAGGCCTCTCTCACCTCAGTCTCTAGGAAACGACGTAAAGCTCTCTTTTTCTTAATGCTCTTTCTGCGCATGTAAATGGCCACACCTAGAGCTATGATGACCATCACAAAGAGACCCCCGATTAGCCCAGCTGCAATCAGAGGAGTCCTGGAAGATCAAAAGAAAATAAACAAGTTTTACTGCTATGCATGCTTTATCTCCCAAACCAGATAAGCACAAATCCCACCCCATACTTTCCATTTTATTTTATTAGTTCAATATTTAATTTTATTTAATTTAATTTAATATTTTATTTTATTTTTAAATTTAATTTAATTTTCCAAATATTCTTTCAGTGCATGAAATATTTTTGTTAGCCTTTTTTTAACTGTAATTTTTCCATGGCCAAAGCTGCATTTGTGAAAACTCTTACCTGTCCAACATGCCAACACAATCCTGCACCCGGGGTCCAGTACAACTGCAACATAGAATATCATATCATAAGTTACAATCAACATATTTGAGTTACATTGCAACAGACTGGTAGATTAAAGCAATAAAACACCATGGTGGTATTTCTTATACTGTCTTAAATGATTAAAACAAAATGAGTAGCCTTAAAGGTGCTGTATGTAAGTTTTTTACTCTACTAAAGCATAAAAATACCATAATATGTTTGCAGATATTTAAGAAACATGCTAAGTTAACATACTTGTTTATCTGAAAAACAATGCTACAGTCAGTTATTCTCCTTTGAATATGTGTGTTCCGGGCTGGAATGTTTTGGTTTGTGAAACCCGCCCACTGCCAGTTTACCCAATTGTATTTCGTCATCCCGGGTTGCCAGTTGGCAGAAAACACAGCGCATTTCATTTCATTCATCGTCATGCGCGCTCGTTCCTGTTGGTGTCGTCAATCTGGCAACCTGCATGTGCGTCAAGCCTGAGGAGGAGGGGCCGGGTGAAAAAAACCCTCTCCGATATTTTGAATTTGGACTGTTCAACCACTCGGGTGTCAATCCTACATACAGCACCTTTTTAAAAAAAGTAGCATAATAAACTCAATGGGCAGATACATTAACGTTATGTTAATTTAGAAGTTAAAAAAGTGCTTAACTGTTATGAAAATGCCACAATGTAAAAAATTTATTTTTTCCAAATTGTTATAATACAATTATACAATATTTTTTACTTTTTTTAATAGTCTTAATTTATTAAACGCAAAAGTGTTTGAGTAGTGCATTTTCAACCAACAAGGGCATGAAAAGTGACTTACAAACTAAAAGCTCAAGCTTCTACATGTTAATAATTTAGCATATTATTGGGTTTAGGCAACTCATGTAACAAAGAAATTTCAGTCTTTAATGTTAAATATGTTTTGTCCAAAAAACTATTTTATCGCTGTGTTGGGCCATCACTTGATGTCCAGTGTAAAAATCTGGGTCCTGCAGCAAAACCAGTTTTGAATCACTGATCTAGGAAGTCAGGAACCTGTTCTCTCTGCTCTCAAATCCCCCAGGCCCATATGTCTAAGACTGAATTCGGGAACCACAAAGGCTTTACCCACATGGGCAATTAGGTTAGTGCTCTGCGCATATTGAGCTTGACGCAGTTAAAGGAAGGAAAGAAGCTTACAAATAGATTTAAGCGCAAACACAAGCAAACAGTTGTACCCCTGGGTGCAGTTGGGGTGGCAGGGATGGCACTCGTTGTTGGTCTCAGCATATTTGAAGATGAAGCTGTTTGCTCCCTGCAGACCATCAGGGCATTTCTCTACACAGTTGGGTCCGTCTTTGAGATGCAAGCACTTCAAGCAGTGATCTGGACCCTGTAATGGGAGAAGAGAGAAAGACGGAATATTAGGAAATGAAAAGTGTCTCAAGAGACTGAAGTACTGTTTTACAAGTGGAAAGGAAGCTTTAAGTGAAACAAGCACAGTCATGTAGATTCTGCTACCCAGGTTAATGTTTATTGAATACATTCCGGTTCAGATTGGGCTTGGTTTTGTAACTATAAAGTAAAACTATATGCTCTACTTTCATTAATGCACACACATGGACCACTCGCACACAGAGATCGGAGATAGTGCTGCGCGCACACAGAAACATTCAGGAGCACGCAAACTTGTTGTCAATGCTGCACCGCGACTTTAATTCATAAAATAGCTTCGATACTGAATTGCTACATTATATTTCTCAGCAACAAGTGGGTAAAATCACTGTTTTTGAAGTAACTAAACTCACAGCTTCATTATTTGTAGAGAGAGATGCACAGATGCAGGTAATTCACACGTGTAACTTTCCCCCCCCCCCCCCCCCCCTCTCTCGATCTCAATAATTAATTCAAATAAATGCATTCATCCATTCAAATAAATGTAACTGCTTCATCTCTTCATCTTTTAAAGCGGGCAGCAAGCATTTCTTATTATTATATATACACAATAATTTCTTAAAAGGTTCTTACCACAAGCTTTAGAATGGCTGTGTAAATCTATAGCATTTTTTCACCTTTGTCCCGCCCCAATAAACAAAAATCTTAAGTCCAATTGGTAAGTAAAAGCACATCTTTCGTCAAAAAATACATTATTTTTCGGTTTAGGTATAAAAAATGTTAAAGGCATGAACCAATAATAAACAACCTTTTTGCAACAATAATATGTATCTGCGTGATACAGCATGGTTAGCCAAGGCTTACATAATCTACTACAGTCTGACAATTATATATATTTTAATGAGGCTACAGAGAGTATTTAATTTTGAGACTGTAAGTAGATAGCTTAATTTGTTTCTAATCAATATCACTCTGTTTCACATTATATTCAGTCTGGAGCTGTGATGAGATGAGGATGCAATCGACTCTGTTAGAAATCTAAGCTTTTTTTCTGTTGTTCCATGTCATAGGTTATCAAGTTTTAATTAAAGCAAAAACAAAATCCATTTACAAATATGTTTATGTTATCTAATAAATTAGATGTTTTTTAGGCTCGTACCGGGCCATGGCAGGTCAAACTTTTCTCTCCTGCTTTTTCACACTGGCTGTCACACTCAACACAAACCGAGCCATTGGCGTACTCTCGAACATCCCTAGAACAGACAGAGTACAATGTGTTATGAGCCATTTATTGAACACGTTATTTACAAAATGTAGTACATTCTACATGTTTAAAAACAAAATGTAT